CAACAGAAATAGCTCAGCCTGGGCTTAAACAGCAGGGAGTGACACTGGCTGGCATGAACGGTGTGGGCAAGCAGAGCTGCTGCACAGGCCAGGGGCGGGGGAATCCTCCGTTACCTGTATGCTGTCCAGCTGCTGGGGCAGGATGCGGAGAAAGTCTTCGGGGAGGTTGCCTAGCAGTGGGGGGTTCCAGTTCCGATATCGCCTCTGGCCGGAAGGGGGCGCGGAGCCCAGCACGTCGATGCTGCAGGGTGAGAGGTGAGGAGGAGGAGGAGGAGGAAACAGTCAGGCCCAAACACAGGTGTCCTGGCCCATCACACCAAGATCCTGCTCAGACTGGCACTGCTGCTCCAGTCTCCCGCGGGGCCTCTGCTGCCTCTGGCACAAAGCCCCACCCAGCACGCTAGCTCCCCTTCTCAACCAGGCTTCGGCTGACCCCTAGCCTCTGGGCCTGGGCTCCGCTGCACTGGATGTTCAACTACTCAGCGCCTTCAAGGTCTCTGGGCCTAGAGAGCTCTGTGTTGCCGGCGCTCATATTGAGCATTGTGGATTTTGACATGGATGTGGCAGTCATGGCCCTTCATGCTTCTATCCCTAGCACCTAGCATGACGCGAGCTCCTCCTGGCTGCTGAGTGCCAGGCGTGCTCCAAGTGAACAGACACAGAGCTGCCAGCAGCCCAGCCCGCACCAGTGCTGGTTTGCTAGGGTCGGGGGACATGAGGACACCAGGATCCCTAGAGGGTAAGCGGATCTAGGCTCCAGTTCTGGCGCAGACACAAGCCAGCCACGTGGCCCTGGGTGAGACCCTGTCCCCTCTGGGGCTCAGTCTCCTACAAGCTGCTCTCTCCCTGCCCAGGTGCGTGGGAGCCCCTCGGGAGGCTGTCTTGAGCAACGTGCTGAAAAGGCACATGGAGGTGTGGGATTGGAAGGGTCCTTGTTCCAAGTGGCGCTGGGGAACCGCTCCCCTGGGCCAAGGCGGAGGCCAACAGTGAGGCCCAGAGGAGAGGAAGGGGCCCTGGCACGTGGTGTCCCTGACCCCCAGCCTCCCGCCCTGCCGTCCCGGCCTGAGGGCGGCCTGGGGCCTGGCCAGGAGCTCCCCACGGCTCCTCGGCAGCCTGCCGCGTGGCAACCGCAGGACACGTGTTCTGCTGAATCAGGGAAATGACACACAGAGAAGGCAGCCGAGGGCCGGGAGCCACTCTCTCTCGGGCCTGGCTCTGATTCGGTCTCAAGCTCCAGGAATCCCGCCCGCCCCCTCACTGGAGGGGAGCTTTTCCGGGCTGCCCTGACTATGGAAATAACTTCCTTTCCTTTTCTATTTTGGGCGGGTGGCCTGGCAGCCGAGGGGGAAGGGCGGGGGCGGCAGCAGACAGGATAACAAGCCGCTAAATGCCTGGTGGGAGCTCAGCACTCAGACAGGAGCCAAGGAACCCCGGGCACCCTCCCACTGTACAGATGCGGGAACGGTCCAGAGAAGAGCCTGCCTTGCGGCCCGGGACTCCCATTCCCGGGCGCCTTTCCTTCTCCATCACTCATCCGCCTCCTATCACTGTTGGCGGCTTCATTTTTCTCCAAGGGCCAGAGAGTCAAGCGGGTGGACACCCCATCCCTCTGGGACTCGAGGACCTTCTTTGGTCGACACCGACACCCTTCCTCCAGCTTCAGGGTCTTCATCTGGGACATGGGTGCCCACCCCAACTCAATCACACCCACAGCTACCCAGGAAAGCCATGGAGAGAGAGCCCCGGAGTTGCAGCTGGACCCCTCTAGCCATTTGTTACTGAGAACCCAAGTCGGGAGGGGGGACGAGGAGTAGAAGGCTGAGTGTCCCTCGCTGCTGGGCCCGCGGTCCTGGAGGAGGGGCAGGCCCAGCCCCCTGCCCTGGCACCGGCTGAGATGAGGTCAGCCCACAGCTGTGAGAGCCAGGGGGACCCTGAGCACGGGCGGCCCAAGCAACTCCACTGTGGTCAGAAAGGAATGTCAGAAATGAGCTGAGAGGCAAATAAAAAACTTCCAAGGCTGTAATTTCAACGGAAGAACAGCAGGTGGCCTGTGAGGAGGGGTGCCTCTGGGCTTCAGAGCCTGTCATTCATTTAGGAAAGGACAGGCTGGGTGAGGGGAAGCAGAGAGAAGGCTGGCGGGGGTGGGGGCGGGGGGGGTTGCTCTCTGGACCCCTGAACTAGAACTGCATGCTCCATAAGACCCCCAGGATTACCCAAAGGGTATCAGAGCCCAGAGGGATTTCAGCAACAAGCCTTCCAGGCAAGATTTTTGGTAAAGACTAGACACTGAGGCCCAGATGGGGTCAGGCCTGTCCTGGAACACACAGATCATCCTGCTAAAACCTGGGCCCAGGAATCCTGGCATTCCAGGCACGCTCCCCTGGGATCAGCCTGCCTCTCTGTGCCCCAGCAGGGCCAGCTCCCAAACCCTCTTCCATCTTCACTCTCAGAGGCACCCCAGAGACTGGAGGTGGCAGAAGGGAGCCAGGCCATTCCTGCCCCCAACCCCCCCCACTCAAATCTGATTGGCCCCAGCAGCCAGAGAGAGATTCCTAAAACACTAACCTCACCCCGTCACTCTCCAGCTTAAACCCCTGGCTGGAGGATAAGGTCAAAGCTCCTTGGAGGACCCTCAAGGGCTTCCACGATCTGCTCACCCCTCCAGCCTCACCCAGCCGTTCCATTCTTCCTGGAGTTCCCTCAGGTGGTGCCCTCTTTCCTGCCTCCAGGCCCTTTGCACGTGCTGTTTCCTTTGCCTGGAATGCCCTACTGTCCTCCGCTTTACCAGCTCACTGCTTGGACATCAGTTCCTCTAGGCTGCCTTCCCTGTACCCTGCCGCGCGTCTCTGCCTCCCCCAGACCCTGATCTCCTTGGGAGGTCAAGGCAGGGCTGTATTCATCTCTGTATCGCACATGCTTCAGGTGACTCCATAAATGCTGGAAATGCATGTCCTGGACGGAGAGACTGAATGAGGCCCTGGAAATGGGCTGAGGGTGGATCTGGGCCTAGCAGGGCCATCCTGGGGCAAAGGGGCACGTGCTCAGAGGTTGGCCCTGCCTCTTCTGAGCGCTGGCCTCTGAGGGCAGCCTTACCCCTGGTCTCAATGTTCACTGTCAGAGCTGACCTCAGAGGCCCACTGTGCAGCCAGGGGCAGGAGGGAGCAGTAAAGCACTGGTGACAGGTCTGGTTCATACCCGGCACTGTGCTAAGGGCCCCCACACACAATGCCTCATTCAAGCCTCACAAGAGTGCTGAGGTGGGGATTCGTATTCCCATTTCACAGATGAGGCAAATGAAGCTCAGAGAAGTTAAGCAGTGAGCCAAGGGCACCTCAAGAATCAGAAGTTAGGCAGCTAAAGGAGGCAGGGTGGGGGGAACACTCTGCCTCTGTCCGACTTCACAACTAAGTTCCCTTCCCTGTATCCACCCCCAGGCCAGCAAAGCCTTCATTTCCGGGTCAGGCCCCTGAACCTGAGGCAAGGGCAGTAACTTGTCCAAAGGTATGAGCAAGACCTCCTGAGCCTTGGTCTAGTGCTGAGGTCATTTTGCCCCCAACTGGGGCTCCCATCACTGGGCTACACTACCCCGGCCCTATTTCACCCCACCATGCACAGAGGAGGGGAGGGAGGATGCGGCCAGGATATCCATGCCACGTTTACAATGGGATTCTGTCTCTTATGGGCCCAGTTTTCCCTTCTGAAAAATAGGTAGAACTATTCTGCCTAATAGAAACTGAACTTTTTGCAAAAGCATCTTGGGATGTTAAAAAAATGTCAAAGGAAAATCATTGAGCCCTGGGCATCATGACCCATCCTGGGCTGCAAGTCCTGCCAAGATCTCACCCAGACCTATCCACTTACCCCCTGCTTTGTCCCATTACAGCCTCTGGTATCACTTGTGATGGACGACCTCGGCTCTGCTCCCGTCCCTGAGTCGAAACAATGCTTCCTCCTCCCCCCATAACTTTCTAGGCCTCTATCAGCTCCCTGAGCTGCAATCACAGAGGTTTTTCTCATTAGGGGGATGACAAGGACACAGCAGGGAAGAGCATTTGTTGGCTTTGGAGTCAGAAATGACCTGGGTTCAAATCCCAGCTCTGTAGTCTTAGGGAAGTTATGAAACCTCTCTGAGGCTCAGTTTCCTCATCTGTAAAATGAGGATGACAACAGTGCCTACCTCACAAATTGTTAGATGGTTTGAATGCGATGGCATAGGTAAAGAACCTTGTCAGTTTCAGGCATTTGAAGGGCACTTAGTAAATGGTAGGTGTTATTATTATCTATACCTGTATGATCACAGAGTTCTCCACCACCACTGTCTGGGGCTCCCAAGATCCCCAGAAGGGAAGACCCACTGGAACAAGTTCCCTGTCCTATCATGTCCCCACACCCCTCCCCACCCCAGGCCTGAGTTATTCTCAGGACCAGCAGCTCCGGGACAAAGAGGCACCTGGGCTCCAACGGCCCTCCTCAAACACAGAGCCCAGAAAAACAAGCACTTCAGAGACCCAGGGACCCAGCTGGCAACCAGCTTCATTTTAAACTTCCAAATTACAGAGTCCCTGATCTGGACGAAGTCTCCAGGGACCTAACTCTTCTGCTTCCGATTATCGAATTACCCCAGAAAAAGAGACTTATTTGCTCCCATTGCTTAAAAATCCCCACAACATCCCTAGAACAGGGATAGCAAATAGATACCCATTCCATCAATTACTGATGACTGTCTGGGAGTGCTGTTTTGAGGAGGATTCTGAGGTTCTGTCTCAACTTAGCAGGAAAGAACACAGTGATCAATTAGTAATGTTTGCCATGGGCTCAGGAGGGGAAGTGTCAGTACACATTCCATGCGCTTGTCATCCCCACTCTGCATCTCCCTTGACTATAAACTTCCAGAAAGCAAAGGCTGAGCGTCCTGTCCAGTGTGCAGCATAGCATCTAGTCTGGAGTAGGAATTTAGTGGATGTCTGCTCTTGCAATCCTTACAGTTTGAAAGTTCTCTTTGGTATCTAGCTAAAATGCCTCTTGCTGCAGTAGAAGCCTGTTCTTGGTGGAATAGTATACCGAAGGGTCCAGTCAAGTTTCCCACTGTGTTTGTACTCAATCCCAACCCCTGATCCCCTTCCCCATTGCCTTGCGTTCTGAGAGGAGATGGATTCTTACCGGGGAGGTGGAGTGGGGGGAGCCAGAGGGTAAGGCCTGTCGAACATGTGCATGTGGTAGGCTGGAGGGGAGTACACAGGCGGGGGTTCCTCATCAGAGCTATCAGGTTCCAAGGTCCTTTCCAAAATCTGTATCAGAGACGACAAAGGAAGAAATATTAACAATCCTTCCTTGAATTTAAATAACATTTAGACAAAATCAAGTGTGGGCGAGGATGTGTAGTAAGGGAACTCTGCTGCAGCTGGTGGGAGTGTAAAGTGATATAACCAGCACTCTGCAAGACCGTTTGGCTTCCTGTACTAACGCTCAGCACATGGGCTACTTCTGAGCCCACGATTCCAACATACACAGCAGACGCGAAAGCACTTCTCCCCAGAGGAATGCTCCATGCAGCATTAGCCATCCAAGTAAGGTTCAAAACCAGGCAAAACATGGGACTTCCCTGGTGGCACAGTGGTCAGGACTCCACGCTCCCAATGCAGGGGGCCTGGGTTCGATCTAGATCCCACATGCATGCCACAACTAAGAGCTCGCAGGCAACAACTAAGGAGCCCAAGTGTCTCAACTAAGGAGCCGGCGAGCCGCAACTAAGGAGCCCGCCTGTCGTGACTAAGACCCGGCGCAACCAAATAAATAAATAAACATGTGGGGGTAAAAAACGGGCAAAACAAATTCACAGGGATTGCAGTTGGAGCAGTGTGACCTCTGGGGGTGGGGAAGGCTGAGAAGGGGCACAAGGGGGATTCCAGGCTCTGTTGATGTTTCTTGATCCAGATGCTGATGAAACTTCACCGAGCTGCGTATTTGTGGCTCATGGACTCTTCTGTCCCTGTGTTACTTTTGATAAATAACTTTAACATCATTCCTACCCTCTCTCAGAGTACTTCCACATCGATTATCTCACCTGAAGCTCAAACAACTGGGCAAAGTAGGCTATGGATCATTACCCCCATTTTACAGATGAGGAAACTGAGGCCCAGGCTGACCGATTAACATGGCAAAAGCCACACACTGTTTCTACAACTGAGTCTTTAACTTAGATGTGGTCTCTACAGCAAGAGTGCCTCCTTCAGACACAATGCCTGCACCCCCAGGTTGGATTCTCAGGGCAGATAGCAGCAAAGGGAGAGCCCAGGCTCTTTCTTGGCCTCCTCTCCTCATCCAGGAGCCAGAGAAAGGGGCAGGAGAGGCCAAGGCTGGGCAAAGGCCAGGCTTCCTGCCATATGGACTGACCTGAACCCTTCTGCAAAGGAGTCTGGAGCAGGAGGAAGCCATCAACCTGGAGAGCCCAGGTCACACAACCCCACCCCCGCGCCCTCCTCTCCAGCTCTGTGCCCATCTCCTCCAAGACCAAAGAACGTGGGAAGGGCTCAGAGGCTGTCAATTGGCCCAAAATTTGAACCCCAAGTGAACTTGCAGAAATCACTGCTAAGATGCCTCTGCACATCTCTGCCCGAGCCCAGCCATGCCCAGGCACCCAGTCTCAAAGGGACACCACGGCGAGTGGGCAGGTGGGTGAGTGAGTGCACATGCACGCGTGCGCGCGTGCGCGCACACACACACACACACACACACACACACACACTGCCACGCTTTGTACACGCACAGCCAGCCTGACCCAAGGAGGCCTCCTGCTCTGGAATGCACTAACGTTCCTTCCTTTGAGGCAGAAAGTACTTAAACAGATGCTTTTGCAGAGAAAGAAGAATGCAGCTGCTTTTCGGGCCACTGCTCTCCTTACCCTAAATTTCCACAAGAAAAAGAGAGAGAGAACACTGTCACCTCCAGCCCTGCTCACTGACACACACTTGCACAACCTCCAGTGCCCGGCACACAACTGCTCTAAGGGACAGGGTTCCACGCTGGGGCCTGTAGGCCGACCCCCTCCCCCTCAGTGGCTGGCCTGGACTGTCCCCCCCC